CTCTGGTGCAAATTACTGACCTCTGTCATCATTTTAAGTGGGGGAACTTGCACAATCGGTGGCTGACTAAATACTTTTTTGCCCCACTGTATCTGTCTGAATGCAGAGTGTCACATGCATACACAGCTTAAGAGCCAGCTACCAATGTTTTTCATTAACCCCACCCCACCCCCACCTGCATGATCTGGGTGACAGCAGCTGTTTTCTGTCTCTTCTGCTCTTCAAGCTGCTGCTGGAGCTGCTGCTGTAAAGACTGGATCTGATCTAGCTGGGACTTCTGCTGAGCCAGCTGCTCCCGCTGTAGAACAAGTTGTTTCTCACGTTCATGCTGTTGCTGCTGCAGAACCTAAACAAAAAGTGTCGGTGGGGATGGGAAGAGAAAGAAGGACATATGGGCAAAAACACAGACAGAGCGAGATAACAGAACAGAACAGAGCGTGGAGCATAAGAGGGTGGAGAGATGGAATGGGTTGATGAAGGAGAAATTATGAAATAAGCAAAGTGAAGAATAGTACCAGAACAAGATGAAGAAAAAAATTTAAAAACAGAGAAAACAGCGAAAAAGAGCCAAAGTCATGATATCTGCTTTTATTCAGGATGATAAAATTTCTAAAATGTAGCCTAAATCACAAGATTCCCACATGTGAATGTGACATGAAGTCATTCTTGTGCTGATGGATTAGTTTTGACAATGGTTCCAAGTTAGTCAAACTTGTATATACTGCAAAAACCAAGAATGGAGGCGCAACATGAATGAAGTGCAGCATTTACTGGTAATTGCTCTTACCAGTCATACAATGCTCTGCAGAAAATATTTAAGGCATTTCTTTTACTGCTAAAATGACAGGCTGATGCAAATAAGCAGTTAGGGGTTTTTGCTTGCACTGTAAATTATGAGATGCATTTTAAACATTCCAGTTCTAGTTTATTCTCATTAAGGAAGACTTCCACACCTGTTTAACAGACTTAAGTTGAAAGATTTTCAACTGCTTGTTCTATTAAAAAAGAAGAAAATTGTCACATTAGCCCTCAGGTTTATTGTGAAAACATCATTGCAAGGCCAAGAGCTCAGAAAGCAATATATTATAACCAACATGTGTGACTGATTTTCGATAGTTTTGCAATATATTTTGGTTTATTTTGCTTGATTTTTATGATTTTATGCAAATTAGTCCACTGAATGGAACATTTAAACCACTTTTTTGGCCTAAAAATCAAAGTAATAAATGAAACATGAGACTTTATAAACAGGTATCCTTTTCAAACACACATACAACAGACATCAAACAGACACGCAAACATCATGTGCAAAATTTAAAAAACCCCAAACAAACACAGCATGCAAACTCATCATTTATAACTAAGGCTGCATAAAAATATTTATTCAGAAAAAAAGTCATCACCTTTGAACAGAATTTTAGCACTACATTTTAAAGAAATATCTTATGGACTTAATGTATCTGATTAACTGGAAATGCTTGTTTAATATACTTTTTAGAAGAACTGCTAAGAGACAGACATTGAAAGACAATATACTGTATAAAAAATTAGCTGTTTTTAATGTGTCTTGTTAAGTAGGCACAATACTGAAACACTGAATAAAAGCATTTTAAATGGGATTAAAAAAAGATAACTCAACCAAATACACCACAAATAACACCACCACAAAACTAAACCAAAAAACCAATATCCAATCCAAACACAATAACCACACAACATCAAACAAGACATTAAGGATCAAACCCTGCATTCCACCTCCTGCTTCTCCCTCTACCTGTTCCTTGATGTTCTGCAGCTCCTGTAACTCTCTCTGCACCAGCATCTGCTCCTTCTCTCTGTGCAACTTCAGCTCTAACCTTTCCCTTTCCAGCTCTTCTTGCAGGCGCAATTGCCTGAGTTTCTCCAGCTCCACCCGCTCTCTCTCCATCTGCAGAAGCTGCTCCTGCTGGCGGTGCAGTCTCTCTGCCTCAGTTTCACCCTCTTTGTGTATGGCACCTGGTGGAGGGAAGGGAGGAAGACCACCTGGAATTGGTAAGCCAGCAGTAGGGGCAGACAGGACTGCTGGAGGTTGGGTGTAACCATGTGTTTGTGCAGGACCTGAAAGTGGGTAAGCATGTGCAGCAGGGGCAGGCTGTTGTGGCTGCTGAACAGTTGTTACTTGTTTCTGTTGTTGGCTACTCAGGTGTGCCTGGGACAGGTTTATTGGCTGCTGCTGCTGATCAGCTGGTATGACAACTGTTCCTTGCACCGAGGTGACCTCTGCTGATGAAGAGGACACTGTCGCACCTTTGCCAAGGTAAACTGGTTCATCCTGGACCACTGAGCTAGTTGTCATGGGAGCACCCACTAGGGCCCCTGCAGTTGCTGAGGTTGTTGTGGCAGCAGCACTTATGTCGGTGGCTGATGTTGTTTGGAGAAGGCCTGGTGCTGGATAACGGACTGCAGCTTGTCCAGATAAGGGCATTCTGGGGCTCATTGGTAGCCTGCTAAGACTAGATAGGGGCACTGGTGTCATGTTGGCAGAGAGGTATGGCCTGTAGACTCCTCTTATTAGTGGTCGAAGAACAGAGGCAGGCTGGGTTGTGATGGGAAGTGTAGAAGCAATGGGAGTCTGAATAGTTGAGTAGATCATCCCATCTGAGGATCTAATAGCAGCGGGGTACATGGCTCTTAGACTTGCCTGCCTGGCATTGATAAGATTAGTTAGTGCTTGACTGTGAGAGATTGGCTTCCCATCTAATCCAAAGAGAAGGTTTTGCCTAATGCCAAGACCAGCTGCAAGTCTGGAGGCCATGGGCCCAGTACCTCTGCTCAAACTGCCAAACTGCATCAAGTCTGGGTTGCTTCCATAGCGATCCATGGAATTAAGTGCTGCACACATTCGGCTAATCTCCCTTGCAGTTGTGGCACTATACTGAGCCAAGTTAGCTTCTTGGAAGTTAGCAATGTCACGCGCAGAATAGCCATAATCTGAACTTATGTTGGACAAGGAATTGTATCTTCTGATAGGCAGTGTTTGTGCTGCAATGTCTCCTCCATGCCGTAAATCTGTATAGGAACCATACTGCATCCCCACATATCCTCCATAGCCCTGTTTCATAGCAGTTAAATCCATGGCAAGTTCTCCTGAACCTTGGAGATGTGGTTCCAGTTTAGAATGGTAAGACTGTAACCCAGCTTCAGCAAGGTTTGTATCAGACATTGAAGGCTGGAGCCTACCAGGAAAAGGTAACGTGTAGGCCTTACGCCCATCCATTGGATACTCATGGTACCTTCCAGGTTGTCTTTCTTGGTCAGACTCATAGGTGAGAGGTGGGGCAGATGGAGGCCTTATGCCTTCTTTCTCAGGAGCACCAACACAGGTTCCACCAAATGGAAGTCGATAAACAACATCACAGCAAGTTGATTGGTTGTCAGGCTTAATTTGGCCTCCTGTCAGATCTACAGCATCCTGTCCTTCTTCTACCTTGACGAGCTGAGTCACAGCCCTGGCTGGGTCTGGCCCCCCATCCATTTGTACAACCATACTATGTGGCAATTTACCCCCTGATATCAAACCAGGAGGACTGGGCTTTCCCTTGAGTTCAACTGGACCAGCGCCATACAGTTCAGGGTTAATGATTGGTGATACAGCACTGACCACAGCTGAAGCAGTGGTTGTCTGACTGACGAGCAAATCTTTTTTCAGTAAAGGTGAGATTGGGCCAGTAAGGTTGTACCTGGCTAAAACAGATGCCTGTTGCTGCTGTTGTTGCATCTGATGGTGGTGTTGCAACTGTTGTTCCAGGAGCTCTTGTTGTTTCTGCAGCTTCTCTTGTTGTTTTTGAAGCTCTCTCTGTTGTATACTGAGGTCTTCCAGTTTGGCATCAATTTTTGGTATTGATGGGTCAGTTGGAGGTGAAACTGGTTTATTCTGGGAGAGACAAACTGCTGAACCCATGCCTTGTCCCAGATCCACTCGGTTTTGATGTGGATCACCATAAACTGTTGGTTGTTTTGGCTGGGTCATGAACATTGAAGCAGCTACAGTGACACTCACAGTGGTTGGTGTGGTGGTTTCCTGTGTGTTCAAGTTCATAATCAGTGGCTGTACAATCGTTGAATGTCTGCTACCCTCTGGCCCACCATGGTATTTTCTGCTTTCTGTGGCTAAGGAGGTGAGATCCATTCCTTGGTCAGTTATAATAATAGGAGCTGGTTTGGTAGCTGTTCTAAGGTCCACAACACTTCCACCATGAATCATATGGCCCTGCTCTACCCTCGAAGTCCCTGGGACTGTAGATATCCTACAGAGGGAGATATTATCCATTGAAACAGACCCTCTGGTGTATATGCTGGCTGTGGTGACCATGCTTGTTCCGACATTTACTTTCTCCACTCTTTGTGTACGATAAAAGCTCCGTGTAGGAGAGTGGTGGTAAGGTGGTGTGTCTGGAGGGCTGCCACATGGAGAGTAAGTATCAAATGTTGATTGGCGGCTAAATCGGGTGGGAGAAGACAGTGGGGAAGTTGCAGTATTGACTGTCGTTGGCCTAGCTGGGCTTGAAGGAGGGGAGTATGGGGCATCCTGAGAGGATTGCTGTCGATAGAGCCTAGGGGAAACTGATCGATGTGATGTTTGGGTTCCCTGAGCCATTACTGGTGAAGTAGGACCAGAGCCTGCTGACTCCATTCGCAATGCTGAACTGAAAGTCTGTGTAGAGAACTCAGCTGTAGCTCTTCTTGAAGGAGAGCGAGTGGGACTCTGCGGTGGTGGTGGCGATGGCGAAAGAGGAGGACTGGTGCTTCTGTAATAAGTAGTATACTTGGGAGAACGGGGCTCAATAATTCTCTCGATAGAAGATGTTGAGCTGTCTCGCACTTGGATCCCCCTGGTCTCCCCTACCCTTCTGGTAATGACTTCTCTTTGACTGTAGGCTTGGGTAATCTCTGCAATCTTACTGCATACGCTTGAGACTGTAGCTGAAGATGCAGATGTACTACCCATATGCCTGCGACCTATTTCAGACTGAGTGGACGTAACAGTATGGCTTGAACCAGTCTGAGAAATAGTTACTGCATCTCTAGCATAAACACCATATGCTGCAATAGTGGTTGCTGCCACTGTTGGAGTTATTCCATTCTTTCCTGCTTGGGTTTTGAGTCTATCTTTGTGTCCATCCTTTGCAGAATAGTGCTGTGTTACTCTGACATCAGGGATTCGCCCTGCAGTCTCAGCAAAGGACACAGGAGCTGAGATCTGGGTGGGACTGGTACCTGGTGTAAGGAGAGCATTACTTTGCTCTAGTAGCTTAGCAAAGGCTGAGCCTGTATCTAAGAGCTGTTTATCTGGGTAAGAGCTCTCAATTTCAATCTCTACTTGCTCATCTGTGGCCTGTTGCATCTTGGTAATGTTCTGAGATGTTTGTCTAATCTCCTCATAAATATCAGTTTCTGTCTCTGCTGCCTCATTGTCATATCCTGTTTGATCTTGCTCATATTCATACTCATCATCATAACTTTGCCCATTAATGTCCTCCTCATAGTACTGCCCATGTCTTCCATGTTGCTGTTGTTGCTGTTGTTGTTTCTGCTGCTTTTGAAGCATTTCTGCCTTTCTCATCATCTCCTCATAGACCTCCTCAGCACTCTTCAGAGGTTTGGAAGTTGAAGATGGTGCTGTGGTGGTGGTTGCAGTTGTTTTCTCTATCGGGGAATAGAGTGACATGAAGGTTGGCAGATTATACTCACTTCCTGACTTGTAAAGTTTGGACTCATATCCCTCTGCCTCTGAGTCAAGACTTTGAGGCGAATATTCAGAAGCAGAGGAACGATGAAGCTCTTCCATTTCTGCTGCTTGTCTTAGCTCTTCTGTTGGAGACGCATCCTCAATAGGTGACAGATTGCTAGGTGGGGTCTTGGATCTTTCTCTGCGCCTCTGAGCCCTCAGCTCCTCTTTATCTCTCTTGGTCTTTCTTGCTGTACTTCTAATTCTCTGCTGTTCCACTTCTCTCATCTTTTCCTGTTCTCTCAGAAGTTCCTCTTCCTCTCTGAGTTCATCCTCTTCTGAAGAATCTTCAATGGTAGGAAGGAGAGGGCCATGAGAGCGGTGGCGTGCTTTCCTCTGCTGCTTAGCCTCCTCCAGTCTTTGCCTCCTACTGGGGCTACTGTCACTATCTTCCTCCATTGATGAGATGGACGTAGGAGATTGTCCAGAGCCATATGAGGATGAAGTGGGTGGCAGAGTAGAGGAGTAGTCACCACGAGAACGTTCCTCAGGAGATCCTGTCAGACTCTCCATCTCTAGCTCTGGTTCCCGATCAAGGCTTAAGTCGTTTTCATTGCTCAGCTCGATGTCTCGACTGTAGCTATTGGTGTTATTGAGTTCAATTGTTTTGAAGCGCCTCAGACCTCCTTGCGATGCCATCACATCTTCCTCACCCTCTTCTAGTGAGCCTTTATAGACATCAGTAGAGCTCTTAGTCTCCTCCTCAAAACTACTGGAATGGTGCTGAAGGCGTCTCTTTTCTTTCCCTGAGTCAGAGATTATGTGCTTATGGTGGCTTTTCTTGGGTTTCTGGTAGCCATATCCTTCGTCTTCCTCATCTTCATCTTCCTCCATCTCTTCCTCCTCCTCCTCATTGTCTTCATCAGCACTCATCTCCATTATTTGTCTCCTCATGAATTCCTCATCGGTCATCTCTGTGGGCTCAGCTTCCTTTTCTTTCTTTTTCTTCTCCTTCTTCTCCTCTTTCCCTTCCTTTCGCTTACCCTCCCAGTCTCCCCCATCTTCTTCTTCCTCAAGTATATCTTCCAGCTCCTCATCAGAGTCATATGCATCTGGCGGGATTGACAGAGAACGTGGGCGTTGCTTCCCTCTGTCATCCAAATCTCTGTCTCTGTGCTTCCTCCCCCTTCTGTCTGCCTTCTCTTCAGAGAAGCTCTTCTCTAGTAATGGCCTCATGGAGCTTTCCAGCTTGGTGATTTCAGAGGGACTTGGTGGGGAGCCCCGGCTGCTGATTCCCCTTTCACTCAGCTTCATCTCTTCTTCCTGGATTAGACCTGTGATTTCACTGTGGGAACTGGAGATACCATCAGATGAGTAACCAGTGTCACTGAGACTCTGAGGGCTGCGTGACAAGTCATGGGTGCTGTTGTTTTTTGTATCCTACAGAGAAAAGAAAAAAGAAAAACAAATGGATTAGACTTGGGGGAGCTAAGGTTTTTAGTTTTAATGATAATTTATATAAATTTTACAATGAGTTGAAACTGGTCAATAATACCAATCTACATAAAAATGAAGCCCACTTAAAATCACTTTCTGATTTTAGATGCAAAATTCATACTTTTTTAAAATTATTAACACAAATAAATAAGAGTTTTAAAAATGGTATTTCTTATTTAGAAATTTGCAGTAATATATAATAGTCCTATTTGTATGATAGCCATAATATAGTATGGTTTCAGTTTATATTAAAAATATCATTATGATGCTTGAACCTGTACGCCAAAACTGCAGTTTTCATTGTCTTGTAAATAAAACAAACAAAAAAAAAAGAATATAAAAAATAAAAATGAAAATTGATGAAACTGATTTCATATCAACTGGATTTCATTCACATGATCACTAAATCACCATGAAGACATTTTATGTTTTTCCATTAAACTTAGTTTTAAGCCAGTGGGCTGAAATGGAATGCTTTAGTTTAAATCAGTCTAAAAGAGATTTATTTATTACTACATGCTACTCATGTCTTATAATTTAAGAGAATTTAACATAGGAAAATGTAAGAAAGTTTTGAGATTCTTCTCACGCTACACAATGCCTATCAGAATTATTCAGAATCAGAATACTTTCTTCATCCAAGGTTGGAAATATAAATAGAAAAGAGAACATGTACTGAAAACAAGTAAAAACAAATAAAAAGAGATTCAATGGTAAAATAAATATTCCAACATTTAACAATACTATGTACAATATAAACAAGATATTACAACAAAAATATGAATTTTAAAGCTCGATGGCCACAAGTAGAAATGGTTTCCTGTGGCATTCTGTGATGCACAAACAGGATAACACTGAACAGTTAATGGTTAACATGAAGTCATAAAAAGCAGTCATTACATATTTAGAAACTTTACATATAACACAAATAGGTTTGCGCGTACTCATTTTGAATCTAAAGAATAAACAAACAAACAAAAATATATTACTATCAGGTTCACTAGCATTAGCTAACACGTAGCTAACATGTCTAACACTAAATCCTAAATAAAAACAACTTAAATACAACTTAATTTAAATATTTAAATATGTAATAAAAATTGAGAATTGAGTCAAAACACTTGGATTTTACTCTACATCTTTGAATCTGATCTGATTTATTCATTTGTCTCAAGACAAATAACATTATTATGCAGTAATCTTATTGTGACTTATAATTGTTAGGTATGTTGAGCCATTGATGGAAAGAGGTTAGATAAACTATGTTTTTCATGTTTTTTCCTTTTGATAATGAGCTCAAAGTAAGATTGTATAGCTGACTTTAATATCTGAACAAATGAAAACTCATTCATCAATGGCTCTTAATAACAGTCATTTATTTATTTATTTAGTCATTTAAAGGAACTAACCTGGTAAATGATTGGGGAGATGGAGAAAAGGATGGAAAACTGGTAAAAATCATGAAAAGCTCTTAAGGTGGTTATAATGCATCTGTACTTTGAGCTCTGTATAATTTAATTACTTAGCAGCTCTTCAGATGACAAAAGTCCAGCACTACCTTAAAAATGACCACAAGAGTGCTACATGAACTAAGGGCTTGGAGATTTTACAGATTCATGACATGCCAATTTTTAGAAGAATTGGAACAGCAAGAAAAGGTTCTTCCTGCTGTCTTTGTTTTTCAATCTCTGTCTCTCCCCAAGGCAATCCAATGCCTTGCTGCCACTTGCAGCCTCAGCATACTGTGAAATGGGAATCAATGACATACTTTCCAAATCAATATGGACGTCCAACACTTGAGGAAAATGGAACCAATTTAGCTTAGAATTACCTATTATTACAGCTATGCAACAGTTATTTTGCCATGTAAAGTAACCATATCTGCAAACAAAGTGATTATCATGTCAGTGTTGCAAGTAAATGTATATGTATAAGCACTAGTCTGAATAGAAATATATAGGGACATTTTGTACAAGAACTGAAAACATTAAATAAGCTTTGCATAGGCAGCACAAAAGCCATATTAACCGAGCAAGAGATACAGTACAAAAAATATGACACATCACGGGCACTAGTCACTTTTAGTGACAATATCATCTTAATAGAGTGTGGGAAAATGAGACAAGGCAAGTATCTCATCCCTCTGTAAATAAGTGCAGAGTCAAAACTGATGTATTTTAGTTTTCACTACAACAACAATAACATAATAATAATAATAATGAACTTTCCCATTTTAGAAATGATCAAATATGACTGCAAATAAAATATATATCATAAATCAGAAGGCTCATTACAAAGCTTTAGCATTTTGACTGAAAGAACAAAACAACCATAAGTTGTATTTATGGATCAGAGACCAAATTTAAAAAATGCTTTCTTTTGAATATTTAAAAACAAGATGTAGCAAAGGATCCAAATTAATAGTGGTAAAATAAGAAGTTTGATTCTAGAGCACAGATTTACTTATCTTCTTTGTATGCCAGTAAATAAATGAAAATAGCAAGAACTGTCTTAAAAATAAGGTACCCCCCCCCCCCCCCCTTTGATTTAGTCTTATATTAATCTTTACAAGAAACATGGTGAGAAGAAAAGAAAAAATCTGTTAACAAATCTCACAAATACATAATAAAAGCAATGATCTATGTATCATGCATTGCCTAAATATGCTTTGTAATTTACTTACTGAAACTCAGAAAAAAACATTATATAATGTTTACATTGGAAAAAATAAGTATTGAATGTGTCAACATTTTTCTCAGGAAAAACATTTCTAATGGGGCTATTGACATGAAATTTTCACCAGATGTAGGCAGCAATCCAGGTAATCCGCACATACAACGAAATCAAAACAAAAAAGTATTTAAATCAAGTTATGTGTAATAAAGTGGAATTATGGAGGGAATAAGTATTGAATACATAAAGAAAAGAAGCATCAGGTGGCTGCATGGAGGCTGGAAGGGAAGACAATTAACAACTTCTCAAGTCAGTCTGAAGCATACATGTGGTGTAAAACGCAAACACACACACCCACACACACTGAGTTTGTATCCAGAAAGGCTAAAAGTAATCCCAACCCTGACCCTTCTCCCATGACTATGTGAATATAGAGAATCAGCTTACAGAAATTATTAGTTGTTTAGCTGCATTCATGAACAATAGCAATGCAACAAGCATAAAAGCATGGATGTGAGTGACACAGCTGTGCAAGATGCTGTAGGCCATCTACAGTAAAGCGACATAGTCTCTAGTTAATGTGAAAAACCTAGCAGTTTTTCTGTGTGAAGGACAAGGTAAAAGGAACTTTGGCCTTTGTTAAACTCTAGCTTTAGTGCCACAAAAATGAGCAGCATGGAGAAATCCTCTGCTACAGCTCTGCAGGTCTGAACCAGAGCGCGAGTTTGATTTAAAAAAACAAAAACATAAATGTGAAGCTGGACCATACCTCAAAAGTCAGTTTTTACTTATATGCAACCCAGATCTCTTTTTTTACATTCTTGATTACATGTAAACTGAGTTCAATTTTTATAAATATAGTGTCAAATCAGAGCCAAAAGTAGCCTAATGCCCTGTGGAAGTTGCTATTTCTCAGTTTTGCTTGGGGTAAAATAAATAAATGGTCATAACTCAAATGCAGGTCTGCTTTTATTCACTGCAACCTCAGTCTGAACAGTCAAATCAAAATTCATCACTTCCATGGCCTGAGTGTCTTGCTAAGTCTATCCTGGCATGTCTCTTCATAATGGCGATACATCCTGAAATTTTGGAGGAAATCAGTTTCAGTGTAGACAGACATGCCTCAAAACCCTCCTGGCTCTAACTCTGTATCCACATATTTCTGTACAACTGCACGATGACCTTTGCCTTTTCTTTGTGTCTTTTTGCATAGTTCACATTTGAATGTGATATTGGACACATTTAAAAAACTCAAAAATCATTTGTGTTCACTTTTTGGTCATTTTCCTTAGTTTAGCACATAAATTGGTGACATGCAAAAATCAGACTTACATCATAGTGCCTGGACTTCTTAATGTCCTTGATCGGTGTGATCTGCTCTCCTTTCTTCTGGGAGGGCTTGGTCTCTTTGGAAGTTTGGTTCTCGGGCTCAGTCTTGAGCTTTTCCTCTGATGGTTTTGGCTGTTTCTCGATCTCAGTGGTTGTTACTGGTGTCGTGGATGGTGCTGTAGTCTTGGTCTCAGTTGGCTGTTTGGCAGCTGCGGGTGCAAACGGGCTGCTAACGACACTTCCCGCCTGTGGCTTCTGGCTCTGTGTTTGGGGCTGGCCTGGCTTGGACCCTTGCTGGGTGGTAGGTTTGTGGAGGGGACTTTGCTGACTGATTGGTGTCTGGTGTCGAGGCGAGCCCGTGGGTTGGTGCTTGGGAGACGGATGAGGAACAGGAAGTGGAGGCTCATCAAGACCTTCTCCAGACATCAGCCGCTGCGTCTGGCAGTTGAGACATAACCACTCTTTTTTCTGAAACAGAGAGAAGACAAAAAGACAAACATGTAATTTGTTTTGTGTGTAATTGTGATACAACCTTAGCCTTACTGCACCAAAGATCGCTTTATGTGGATTAACTAATATTGTTTCACATTCATAACCTGGTTAATATTCTTAACTTTCAACTCAGCATTCACTTAAATAGAAAACTACAGCAACAGCCTCACACACACATACACTCACGTACTGTGTACACTGAAAATCTTATTTACAGACAGAGCTGTCAGAGGTGTAGCAGGCTAAGCTGAGCTGATGCACGTTTCTAAAAGGCCAAGTCGCTCTAACAGCTACTCCCTGTTTCATCAGATCAACTCTACTCTATTTCACACACTGTGAGCCTGAGTGGCAAAAAATGAAAGACTTTAGTGCACAACAGTGTACTTAATCTAGCTTGTAATTTGGTCTTCTTCATTCTGACAAAGCCAAACTAGTAGCATACAAATATATTAAAAAAATTCACAATATCATAAACATTACTCCAGAGACGCAACATATTATTAGAAACCCATCATCTTTCCAGATAATATGACAAAGAGGTATTTACAAATTTGCTTGCTGCAACAGTTTTTCATTTATCCACCTGGTGAATATTAGTTTGTTATTCCCTTCTTCTTAGTAAAGTAAAGTACAATAGTGCAAATGTCGGTATTGTAAGTAAATACAAAAACTGTTTTGTCAATGCCAATACAGATGCTGATAGTATAAAGGCAGCTTAAATAGGAGAGAGCAGTGTGCCATGATTTATGAGACAAATTATCATCAATTTGTAAATGCTGAACACATTTTAATGACCACTAAATCACTATGATTTTTAATTTCACATTAATTATTTAAAAAACAAAACACCTTTCATCTTATTCTGTGTTTTAAAACTGGAGTTTTTGGAGACCCGAAATGTAAATGTACCTGTCTAAAGCACTTTGGGTCAACTTCTGTTGTTTAAATGCAGTGTTGGGGAGTAAAGGAATACATGTACCGCCGTTACGTATTTAAAATACAAAATATGAGTAACTGTATTCCATTACAGTTACCGTTTAAAAAGGTGGTATTCTGAATACAGTTACTTTGCTGAAATAAAGGGATTGCACGGCGGTCTTTTCCTGTTTCATATGTTAGGCTATGCTCTCTCCATTTTTGGTAATTCCGTGCCGGTGAAAACCCAAACAAAACACGCATTAAGAGGCTGAAATGCCTGTGTCTCAATCTCACGTCTCATAATGATGTGAAGAAATATATATTTTTTAATTATTTAATATGAAGGCAATAGGCAGAGTGTTACAGGAATAACTCTAAAGAATGTAGCCTCATGGGCAGTGTAGTCCGTGCTGCAGGGAGAATGGACTGCCATACCCGTTATGTGTCTGTGTGAGTCTATCAACTGCAAAGGATTTTATCTGCTTCTTTAGCTTCTACATAAATAAAATGTGCTCATGTAGCACTTTTTATAGACAGAAGAATCACAAAGTGTCAGGGGCTGGGTCTGTGACGTTTTGAGGCTATTTTGTATTTTTGATTTTCTTATGTTAAGTTTGTGATGATAGGTTCTTGTGTTATTAATAGTTAGGATTTAGTTAAGTTTTATTCTGGTTTTTGTTTCATCTTTGTCTCCTTGTTTATGTGTCATGTTTCCTGTCCAGTCTGTCACGTGTTTCATATCTGTGTTATGTCCACGTTGTCAAGCTCGTGTGTCATGTCTACATCTCTCCATGTTTCCTGTTTTATTGTGAAGAGTCCAGTGTCTAGAGTCTAGAGTCTAGTTAAGTCTCCTTCTGTTCTTTGTTGGGTCGCCTGTTTATCTTCATGTCATGTCTCGTCAGTCCACAGAGTTTTTGCTACTACTCAGGTTCAGGTTCATGTTCATGTTCAGACTTTTTTCACATTTATGTTTGCATGTTCCTCTTCAGTTCCATGTTCATGCCTTATGTCTTTGTTTTCATAGTTTAGTTTTCCCAGTTTAGGTTTTAGTTTAGTTCTTGCCCCTATTCGCCTTGCCTTGTTTTGTGTTCACATTTTTTCAGTCAAATAAACGACTAGCTTTTTTTTAAACCTTAGTTTGTTTCTCCCGTGTCTGCTTTTGTGTCTGTTCCATAAATACACCGGCGTGCTTCATAGTGTAACAGAAGAAACAAACGTATAACACCAGATCAATATGAAACACAATAGAATGCAACATACAACACAAAGAAGTAGCGCTAAGAGGTGTTGTAGTGTTGCTAACTGCTCCAATTAGCTAGTTGCTAATGGTGAATTCTATCCCATGAGCATTCAGAGGGTTTTTTCTTAGAGTTCAAGATAAAATTAACAGTCATCAGTGGCAAGAAATGATGAGAGTGACTAAAAACAATAAATCAACTACCTGTACAACACATAAATGAGGTGTAACACATTATAAAGTGTTTTGTCCTATGCTAACACTGACTAATAGAGTTAGCAGCACAGCAATACTACAGGAGTGAGGTCTAAGGCATAAAACTGAGAAGAGGGTTAGTTTTACATTTACAGTTGCATTTCAACATAATATATAATACTTATGCATTATGTATTTTTGATGATCTCTCCAGTATCTAGCTCACCACCCACCAACGCCACCAGCACCTTCTGTTTCTGTCCATGACAGCTAATGGAGTTTGGGGCTGAAGAGCAGCTGTGTTACTCATGTAATGAATAATTGACAGAAGCAGTTGTTCCTCTTCAACACTTATCTACCATCTCTATTCTTATTCACCTCCATCGAGTCCTTTCTCTTTCTCTACACCAAACTCACCAAATCTCTTTCTACAGAAACTCCATTCTCTGGCTCATTCTGCCTTTAGCTCTCTCCCACTCTCAAGCCTCCTGCATTTGCTCCATCCCCTGTCTTTTTCTGAATCCTTTTGGGAGTTTATCTGCGATTAGATGTCACACAAAAGACTCCATCTCCCTTAGATTTCACAGTGACAGTGCTGCTTTGGGCCGAGCAGTGAGCACTATAATTGGCACAGGATTCACAACATTAATAAATATAGTAATATAAGCTGATCCGACAGCTTTGAAAATGCTAGCCTCCAGTTATCATGACCAGCTAATTACAGTAAGGAAAACAATTAAATGGTAGAGGAACTAGAAGCTGAACAGACAACAGGTTACATCCAAGTGTTTGTTTTTCTTTTTTCTTTTTAATCATTTATCTTTTGCCATTTGTCACAGAAAAACTCACATTTCAACATTTCATTTGAAATGACTGAATAATGCAGCTTAGGATAAGTGAAATCTTAATATTAAAAAAAATTGGATCAGTCATTTAAAAATGAGAGGAAAAAAGATTTTTCAAAAAAGTATGTGCGCTCAATGAAACCTAAAATTTAAATTCATTTGAATATCCTATTCCCACCAACATGGCTTCAGCATAAAAAAAAGAAACAGATTATCAGAAGATGGAAAATCTTTTTGCGCATTAGGGACTCATAGCATTATAGAAAGAAAATATTTTGAGACGCTGTCACTGGAATATCTTATATGCCTTCAGCAATTATAACTGAACAAAGTAGCTGATGAGGAAGTTATCTTCTGATTGGCTGCCTCGATGCTAACTGTAACTGAAAATGAGTTTGTATCCCAGTGATTACACAGGAGATGTATCACTGTCAAATCTTTAAGCTCAACATAAATGAAGCTTAATTGGGGTTCAGGTTTAAACTCCTGAAGAATACATTCTGAATACAGTACAGTACACCAAATGAATGTAAGCCGATGTAATGCCCTCTGACGTGATGGAAACACAACTCTGTGTGTGTACATCCCCTGAAGCACCACATTGTACTGTAGGTTCTGAAATGGTTGAATCATTTTTCAACCCTAAAGTGAACTCATTCCCTCCTTTTCTCAGAGAGAGAGTATATTCAAGATGACATTACAGGGAAGTTTGTGTGTGTTTTCCCAGTGGTGCCCACTTAGCCTACATAGCACAAACAATCTGGCCTTTTCTACTCCTGTCAATAACACTCACTAAAATGCTCCATCAGTGCTAATTCATGTCGCAGAGCACTGCTGTTTTCTTTTCATGTGCCGGTGTCATTCTGCAGCACATTCTGAATCTTCTCTTTCTATTTCAGAGTGTCTGTTCTGTTGAGCATAGCTGGATTTGTTTTTGCCCTATACCTTCCAGTTCTTGTCTTTTTTTTTTCTTGTCTACCTTTCTGCTCTTTTTCAGTCCATTTCCTGCTATTTTCAGTTACTCCATCTGTTTTGCACTTAATAATAGGGAAAGAAATGGATTTGCCTTTTATTCATACCCACCTGTCACAAGCAGCATTTCCCTGCCACTGGATTTTATTCGCAGAAAATCTGTAGCAGTAACTTACTATTGCTTTTACTTTGTCTTATCCAAATAGAGGTCTAGCAATTGCACCTTCATGATGGAGAGTAACAGTACTGTCCAAAACTCTCAGGCTTACACTCATTTCTAAATAGGTGCAGCTATTTATTGAAACACGTACAAACATACATTTAAAATAAGACTTGGTGTAATTCAAACGAGCTTGTAACTCAATATTTGGTATGATCGCCTTCATTCTTCCAACACAGCCTGAATTCTTTGTCATTTCTTTAAGTAGTCTTCAGTTCTCAGGCTTCTTGAAGGACATTCAAAGCTCTTCTTCGGATGCCTTTTATTCTGTTCACTGTCAAGATGCTCCCACACTGCTTTAATAACACTGAAATTTGGATCTCCATGAAACCTGTTGATACTGATTTTCAGTCCAGTCCTTGTTTCCCTTCCGTAAAAATGTCATCTTGACAGCCATCCTTCCATTCAGTCCGTTGGGTTTGGTGCTAGTTTTTATGCTTGAACAACTCATAGGTCAGTGTTAAGCGGCTTCACAAACAAAGTACCATTCTTCTGGCTCTCTTCCACAGTGTGTCTTTGTCCTTTCTTCCTCCCCTCACCCCCAGGCGATCACGGCAGATGGCCGCCCCTCTTTGATCCTTGTTCTTCC